CAGCTGGGGCATTTTGTGGCCGTGGGGCGGAGGCCTTTGCTCCCGGGAGCGGGCAGCTGGGCAGCAGTGGCCTGAGCTCTCCCTCCTGTCTCCTCCAACAGGCAGAGAAGTTCACCTGCGTTTGCTACAGCTTCTCTGTTGGTAAGTGGGCTCCTCTCCTCAGGGCCGGGCTCGGCCCCGCACCCTGTGCCAGAGGCACCATCCCGCATCCTACCTTTTCCCCACCTGGCCGCTTCCCTTGGAGAGGGAAAGCCAAAGCTGAGTCAAAGGGCAGGAGGGTCCTGGAGTGCTGGGGAGAGGAAACCTTTTCTTTCTCATACACGTGGGTATTCCTTCATCCCAGAAAGATCCTGCTCCGTGGACTTGTGAGGGTCAGCATGGGAAGATCACAGAATCACAGAATGGCCAAGGCTGGAAGGGACCTCCGGAGATCATCTGGTCCAACCCCCCTGCTCAAACAGGGTTATCAAGATCATTGTCCCCTTCATGGGATCAGCCCCTGGGATCTGGTGGCCTTGCTAACTGGGGGGCCATGCCTTCCTGCCCTTTCAGAGACCCTGAGCAAAGAGCCAGAGATTGGGCAGTGCCAGCAGAGATGGTGGAAGGAGACGTAGAGATGTGTTATCTGCTAGCTCCCTGCAAGGCAGGGTGTGGCTGTGCCTCACTTCAAAAGCCATTAGAGCCCAGATAGATGTGTGCACACACATGCTCACATCCAATGCAAAGGGTGGGGGCCCTCATGGACTCATGCCCCAGGCTGTGATACCCACCTCTGGCTCTGTTTTAGCTGCAGGGCAAGCCACAGCCCCATGGCCTTGGACTGCGGTCACAGTGGTTCTTGTGCTCTTTGTGTTGGCCTTCCTGATTGCAGGGATCCTGTGGTTTGTGCTGTCCAGGTGAGTGGCTGGGGGGCCTGGAGTCACTGCTCTATTGCAGGGCTTTGTGTGCTGAGGGGCAACTGGGGCCAGATCGGGTCTTCTCCCTTGCTTCTCCCACCCTGGCGCTGCTATGGATGCAGACAGCTGGTTCCAACACTGGCTTGGCTGCAGGGCTCCCACCTGGGGCTTGTGAGCATCTTCCTTGGGGCTGGGACAGGGGCCACAGGCACCGAGAGACCTCGTCCCCTGTGGCTCTTCCTGCCACCACTGCCATCCCTTAGGGTGCTGGTGGGCAACTCCTCTGCCAGCTTGTGGGAGGCCAGGAGCAGAGAGGTGCAAAGCCCTCCATCCCTCTGCAGCTGGGGTTGGCAGTGGCCTTGGCAACGTGAGCCTCACCCCTCTCAGGATTGCCCTTTGTCTTCCCAGGAAAAAGAAGGCCTTAATCAGCCAAGCTGAGGAGAACAAGTAAAAAGGTAGGAAAAATGCATCTTCCTGGGGCCACCACCACAGAGATGGCTGCAGGGCTGACACCAGGAAGGCCTGACCCTTGGCAGAAACATCTGCCCGTCCTCTCCCATCCCGGGGTGACATGCCCCATGTTTGCACCAGCTCTCTGGTACCCTGGATGGTCAGGATAACTTTCCCCTCTGGGGCCCAGGCTGCAGTCAAGCAAGGCTGCAGGCACATCTCCCCAGCCTGGCGCAGCAGCGGGGACAAAGAGGAGTGTGCAAAGGGGAGACTTGTCTCTTGCCCTTTGGAGGGACCCAGGGCTGTGGGCAGGGCCTGGGGATGCTCACCCTCTGGTGTGGTGGGAAAGGCTCTGCCAGGAGGGAGCCCCAGGCCCTGGCTGCTCTCACATGTGTGCATTTCTGGGCCATCCTGGCAGCCTCTAGGGACCTGTGGATGGGCAAAGCTGGGCGACAGAGTGCACTGCCCAGGACTCCAGCCTGTCTGAAACACTTGCCTGTGCAGGCAGCTGTGCTGACGAGACCTCCCCACACTGCCAAGGGCACATGGCAGCCTCTGCGCTGGGAGCTAACACCCCATCTCTGCCCAGGATCACAGGAGACAGGCGGAGGAGTAAGGGAGTAGAAAAGAGGAAGAAGATGTCCCTGGCTTCGTGCTAATGGCAGCTGACTCCTCAGACCCTCCTGTGACTGTGACCAGCCCTGGGAGCCCTCATCCAGTTCAGCAGAGCAAAGGAAAGGCTATCATCTTTCTCTTCCTTAAACCTTCTACCTTGCCCCATCCTTCACTCAGTGATCTTGTAATGGCTAGCATATTTTGATGAGACTTCTTATAGCCTCTTTTTTGTGGCTTTGTTTTCTTTTTTGCTTTCCTGGAAGCTGGGACTGGAAACAAGTCTTTCTAGCCCTTGAACTGCGTGGGCTTCGTCTGAGGTTTGGCTTATGCTGCTGCCTCCAGCTGGGTTCCCAACCCCTCTCTCTACTCCATATGGCGAGGCCCAGCCACACCCATGACTCTGCTCAAATTTGGCCTTGTCACTCTGCCTGCTATGTCCAGAAAAACAATTAAGTCTTGTGGTTTGGAGGGGGGCTACCTGCTCTGCTACAGCTCCTGCTTGGTCCTCTCATGTCCCCATAAGGGCAATATCTCCTGTGGGGAGCTGAGCTAATTGTATTTTAGAGAGAGGATGCTGGGAGAAGGGCTACCGTGACCCCCTGGCTTGGATCCAAGCCTGAGAACATGCCTGACCCCCAGGGCTGTGCAGGGCAACTCTCATGTGCGCTTTTATGGGATGCATGGTAGGAAACAGGGAAACATGGTGCTCTTCGGTGCACACCTTGGGCAAGACTGTGGCCTGTGCTGTAAGCAGAGCTGGGGAACCTGCAAGCTCTTCCCTCTTCTGCTTCCCCAACACCTGATGATTTCTGGAAGAACACCAAGGTCAAAGCTCGGCCCCACCATGTCCAGCACAGAGCCTTTACTGGTAAGATACAGAATAGGGTCGGGGGTCAGTTTTGGCTCTGAGACACTTTCCTCTTCGAGCAGCTCTGGCAGAACCAATCTCGAAGGTGCAGCAGCCCCTTGTAGGAGGCAAACTGCAGTTATAGCATTAAGGGTACCCAAGCTTAGATGCTACAACCTGGGACTGCTGTGGTGGAGAGAGATAGGCTGGTGAGGGAGCCTCCCTGGAGCTGGCACCTAGAGCACCTGGGACAATCAATGTCAGCAAGATAACACTTGAGGAAGGGGTTTTGGACCAGGATGGTCCTACAGGACTGTGGCTTTTCCTTCTAGCTCTTCTTGGCCTTGGGCTTCATGCTTCTCCCAGTGCAGGACAGTAAGCCTGTGCTCCTGAGCCCTGTGGATCTGACTGATAGCAGTTTGATGCTCCCCTAGAAGAAGAGTCTTGGTGTTGGTGGAGCTGCCTCATTTCTCATGCAGCTGCCTAAGAGGACATGGGATCCCAGATGGGGCAGCTGATTCTCTCCATCCTGGGATCAAACAGGTAAAGTCTCAGTGCCTCCTCTGTGGTCTGCACATTCAGGCTGTGATGCCAGGTAAGTTCCTACCCAAACTGTGGGCAAAGGGCAGGGTTCCTGCTTCAAAGCCTGGTCAGTGACCACACGATTTGGGGACAGTCCAGACTGCCCTGTCCAGCTGCAGAAGATACAGGAGCTGTGCACATCGCTCTCATCTCCTCTGGTTTCCACAGTCACTAGCAGAGAACTGTCAAGAGAGCTGGAAGTCCTGGCCAGAGGTGGGTTGTGGTCATGCCTCTACTTGAAGTTTCCATAGGTTTCAAATGAATTCAAGTAACTGAGGGCTAGTTCATAGCACAGCCGATATTGCTCCTGTGGACAGGACATACATGAGTACACAGTGCATGAACCCTTGTCATGAAAGGCCAGCCTGGCTGCTGACAGCTTTCTGAGTGATAGGCATAGGTGCCTATGGTATAGGAGCAGCCTGATCTCCTCCTCCCACTCACAGCCCACCTTCCCCCACTGAGAAATCACATATGTGTACTCCAAGAAGCTGAGGGGCTGCAGCTAGCTGGTCTCAGGAGGAAAGCCAGCAACCACATCGCAAAATGTTTGCTGCTCACATCCATCCAGAGTGCTTTCCACATCATGGCTTCCAGCATCTAGCTGGGAGGTGGGTGCAACGTAGGCACCTGAGCACCCACTGGTTCAGCCCTCAGCTGAGCAGGGCCTGTGGACCAACAAGGGGCAGCTCAGCCTGTGGGATGCTCCAGCACCCACCTGGTTCTGCAGAGACTGCAGCTGAGTGGGCTGGGTATGCCACAGCAACAGAAAAGTAAGGTTTCCAGAGGTCTCGCCTTACCCAGAAGGATCTGAACATACAGGTTCTGGGGTAGCTGCCAGAACTGTTCAGGCTACGGCCTCTGCTGTGGCGTTGCCATCCCCAGCTGGGTTTAGAGTCAGTACCTACCACATCCTTAACCAGCTGTCTCCGTCGCCTCTTCAACATCCTCACAGCCTGGGACACATCTACCTGTCCCTCACTTTGGATCTGCTCACAGAGAAAACTGGAAGCACAGAAGATCCCACTCCGGCTGGCACCATCCCTGCAGAGAAGAGCAAGGGGAGAGTCACTTGGCCTAGGATCACCTGGTAGTACTGAGCCGTGGGGGTGTCCTGCTAGCCACACAGGCCTGGGGCTCTCAGTATGGTCTCATACACAGATCCTACATGAAGCCAGCCTCCATGGGGAAGCTTTCCTCCCATGAACACAGCTGAACCCATGTCCACAAGTCCATCCTTGGAACTGTGACCCAAGTTAGATGATGTATCCTGGAATGTGCCATAGCTGCCCCTGCTAGAGACCTTGCTCACCAGCAAGTGACGAGGACATGTGAACCTTGGCTCTGATGCTGGTGTGTCTCCACCTTCCCCAGCAGGCTGATGATGGTGGCAGGGCACGGGGGAAGGCACTGCTGCATGGGCCAGTCCTCCAGCTGACAGAACTGGACTTTCAGTGCAGATTTCTTGGGCTAGCAGAGAAGAAAGACAGTGAGCTGAGCCTAGAAGAACTACATGGAGGGAAGGGAGGGACAGTGTGTGCCAGTCCTAGCTCAGTCTTGCACAATAGAACAAGGGAACAGCTCCACAGTGGGATGGCCTAGTCCGAGAGAGTGACTCTCCCCTTTTCCTTTGAGTGCTCTGAGACTGATAGATGGGCAGAGCGTAAGCTAAGAGCTGACTACCAGGTGCAGCTCAGATTGATGTCAGTCCGGGGCCTGACTACCTGTAATAGCTGTCCCCATCCAAGAGCCACCATGAGAATGCACAGACTCTCTCCATGGCCACTGTCCTCAGAGTTCGAAAAGGCAACACAAACATATCAGTGCTCTGCCTTATATCTCTACCTGCAGCATGAGCCTCTCTGGACTAACCTCTCCCCCAAGGGGAAAGGCCCTACACCATTCAGGGCCCTCCAAGGACCTCGTCAGGTCTCCCTGACCCTTGTGGCCTATGCCTTTGCAAGCTGTGACTCCAACCCCAGAGCAAAGCTTGCTGATGCTGGAGCCCTGCCAATACTCTCAGGTCTCACAAGGGCTGGTCTCATTTCACCATCTGTGCAAAGAGCTCACCTGCTGCTTGTTGGTCAAAGCGAGTGTCCAGACTGTGAAGCCAGCTCCGGGCTCCTCTGAGATCAGCTGGACATGGAAACAGCCGTAAATCGTTTCTCCCTGGGTGGGCCAGAACTCCACGTATGTCTAGGGGGTGACACACACATTATCACACACTGCCTCAATCTGCATGCATGGCAGAGCTCAGCAGTACTCATATCGGTACGCTCAGCCCAGCCCTTCACCCACAAATCACGATGTGCACATGGGTGCTCTGCCTGCCGTGCACTTGGGACCAATAAACCCACAGTGTTGCAATCAGAAAAATAACACCCCCACTGACAGGACACCTGGGCAGGCATGAGCAAAACCTGAAGGATGCTCCTTCCTCCCTTGCTGTAGCCCACACCACGACAGTGGGGAGACCCCATTACTGTAGTGCCTTATGAGAAGAGCTGCAGGGGGCTTAGGAAAAATAGTACACTGCCTGGCCCCATCGGGAGCCAGGGAGGGGAGGACAGTGTGTAGGCTGCTGACCTGGTCCAGCTCCTGCAGTTGGTTTAACACAACCACCGATGTGCAGGTGTAATCCCAGACCAGAGCCCAGAAATCCACCAGTGTGGCCAGAAACGGCAGCTGGGTGATAATGAATCTGTCTTCCTCAGTGTATGTCTGCAAAACACAGCATGGAGGAGGTCACATAATCAACCCCCTTAGAGCCCTTCTAATCACAGGAAAAGGTCCTTGCCTCCTCCCAGCCAGGCTGCTGTTGCCAGCCCTGCAAGAGGATGGCCTGACTGCAAAGGGGCTACCTGTAGAAGTGGTTCCCAGCCACTGTGCATGTCAGTAGGGGTAACCCACACATCCCCAGCAGTGCAAGGGGCAGGAGCTGCTGGGAAGTTTCCACATGTACCCCCACCAGCTGATGCTGAGCCCTGGAGAAGGCAGATGCTGGATCCCTGGGAGGTAAGCCTGAAGGTGGGTGATGTGACAATAGGAGATGGGGGGGACAGCAGCCTGCCTCCTTCTGTGGGTCCTCACAGAGCTGAGGGAAACAGTCGGTCCCCATGGATCCATCCCATTGGGACCTGGGGTTATTGCCAATATCCCCAGTCCCTGTAGTAACCACTTTGGCCAGGTACCTGAGCAACATCCATGAGGCCAAATGCCAAACTAGGCAGCTCTGCAATCCCAGGAATAGAGCCCAGGAAGATGCAGGCCACCACAGCCCTGCTCAGAGCAGGTTTGCATTCCTCTGACCCCTCAGCTCATCACACTTGGTCCCTCCTCACAGCAAGCAAAGGCCACAGGCTGTACAGCAGCCTGCTGAGCTGTATGCCAGGAGGGAGCCAGCGCAGGCAGGGTTTAAACTGATCACTGAGGCCATCTCCTGGAGGCAGAGCCCCACCACTGGGAAGCAATCACTGAGAGGAAGCCCCCGAGCTGAGACACATCAAATCCAGGACCCACAGTCTAGCCTTGCCTCAAGAGGTGGTGTTTGTGGGGCCCTGCAAGCCTTTGCTGCTCCCAGCAGCTCCAAACCCCTGTTGTGGCTGGAGCCTTACATCAGCGAACACTGCGTTGATATAACGTGGTGAGCCATCTGCGTTCAGTGAGGACATGAGGACAGGCCGGCAGGAATCCGCTGTGGAGGTAAGGGCCAGAGACAGAAAGGGTGAGCCAACTTCTCCTTGCACAGAGACCCCAGGGCTTTCCTTGCAAGTGGTGGGGGTCAGCATGAGCAGACACCACCAGGCCCAGTGCCAGGAGCAGTCAGGGCTGTCTGACACAGGATGTCCCGAGCCCGCATGGGTGGAGGCACTAAGGAACAGCAACATTGCCCTCCTGATTGGTCCCTGATGCCCAGTTCTGGGACAGAATTGACCCAGGGACGTTTTTTATCTCAGGGCAGCCCATGAATCCACTGGTCTGGCAAGTACAGAAGGAAGCAGGGAGGGATGGATGGATGGCGCCTTGCTCACACGGACAGATTGGTCTAGTCTACAGTGAGTATTGTCAACCAGAAAGTGGCACTTGGTTGCCCTGGACTGAGCCTAGCAGTGGCATGGTGCCAAGAAGAAAGGCAGTAGTGCTGAGGACAGCAAGTCCACCCCATACTACTCTCAAGTGCTGGATCACAGGGCAAAGGGCAGCCCAACCCTGCCAGCAGTACCTGGCAGGATCCCTGGCTTGCGATTCTTGGGCTGGTTGCTGGGTTTCTCCGCTTCTTTGCATGGCAGGAGCTGGAACAACTCGGAAAACTTCTGCAGGGCCTGATGGGATGATTCAGCTGAGCCATTCTGACTTATTAGTGACCCTCTCCCTCCTTCAGCCTCCCCCCAGAAATGCTCCCCCCATCTCCCTCCCTTTGCTGAGGGGGAGCAGCAAGGTGGAGGTACCAGGGAACAGCCCTGTCAGCACCAGATCCTTTGCAATAAAGAAAGCGAGAACATAGGGAGCTGCATGCTCAGCCACCCTTGACACAGCCTCAAAGACATGAGCCTGGCAGCTCGCGAACCCCAGCTCCAGAGACTAAGACACACAGAGGGAGAGGCTTTGCCCAGCAGTCAGAGAGCCCAGAGGTGTGATTCCCCCTAATGAAGCTCAGCTTTGCCTTACAGCCAACCAAATTAACATCTGTGATCCCATACAGCTTGCCCCAGAATGAGATCCCATGGTACCTTGAACTCTTTCTCAAGGATGTTGTTCTGCCTCTGGATCTCAGCTTCTCGTAGGGAGCTGATGTGGCTGATGACATTCTCCACTGGGACCCCGGTGCTGCCGCAGAGCAGGCCTTCAAGCAACACCTCATACAAGAAGGTGTACTGCTCCTGCATGAGGACATGGGTCAGCTGCACAGCCCAGACCAACTCCACCTGTTTGCACCCAGGGCCACAACACAGAGATTCCTGGGAATCTAGGCCACCAGCCACTGGACTACATCTTTCTGATGGTGTCCTGTGCCAGGAATGAGCTAGCTCCAGCTTCCCCCCCCCCCTTGCTGTGAGTCCCTGAGGCCAAAAACCTCCCAGGTGTTGCTGATGGCCAGCCAGCAAATGAAATGACCCAGACAAGGCCATCTTCCTGTGGTTTAATGATCCTTCTCACTCCAGACCCCGGTTTGAGGAAGGAAACTCAGAAAAACAGTGAAAAGCTCCTCTTCAAGGGACCAAGGAACACGACCCATCCTATAGATCCCCTCCATGGGGCCTTAGCACTGAGCAGACCATGGGAAGAGGGTCCCTCAGCTAGGACACTGCTGCCCAGAGGGTACCACGAGGGCAGATTTCCTGCAAGCCTAAAGGACATGTGCACTCTCACGCATCCGCCTTGCCTACAAGACAACCCTTCCATACCAGGATGACTGGTGCATTCAAAGGCTGCTGCCACTTCAGAGGGTCTCAGGAGAGCATGGAGGCTGCCTAGGTTTGGACACCACTTTGAAAACAAGAGCCTGCAGCCTCAGTCACCTGGCAGCCCCAGTCGCTGTGGCTAGACCATGCGCTGCACAGCCTGTGAGGCTTTGCACACCCACGTCCCTGGGAAGAGTGGGAACCAGAACGTGCAATCTGCAGCCTGCAGCATGCAGGGAGCAAGTAACTCTCCACACCTTGGTCTGCACCATGCTGACCCGCTGCTCCCGCAGCCTCTGCACACACCGAAACACATCCACCTTGCCCTCAGCCTTCGCCATCTTCAGGAGGAAGTCCAGGGCAATGAAGGTACCTGTCCGCCCAATCCCCGCACTGAGAACACAGAAAAGGGAAATCAGCACTGCTCTGGCCACACTTGCTCCAGCACCTGAGTGCTCCCAGCCTAGTACCTGCAGTGTACCAGCACGGGGCCGGCAGGGTCTTCTGACACCCTCTTGTTCACCTTCTCCACTAAGCACAGGAGCTGAGCAGGGTTTCTGGGGACCCCATGGTCTGGCCACAGCAGGTAGTGAAACTGCTCCACCAGTCTTGGGAGATCACAACCTGCCTGTAGAGAGGGAGAAAAGGGAGACAGGGCTGGGAACAGGGAACAGGAACCATCCCAGAAAGCTGTGCAAGTAATTGCAGGCCAACATTTAGGGAGTAGTAGAGAAAACCATGGCAGGGATGCACCAGCACCCAGCAGTTCCCAGTCAGCACCCCTGCCATGCTGACTGATCCACCATAGCTCAGACAGCAATGGGCACAACAAGGATGAGGACTCTAAGCAAATTCATCAAGCACACAGCCACACAATTCACTTTATTCTCTACTTCCCCACACTGAGAACAGCTAAACTTGAAGCAGTTGCTGACCTGTCTTCCTGGAGACCTGGCAAGGCTGATCACAGGGTCTCTCGGCCAAAGGCACCCATCCCCAACAGCTACATGCCAGTCTTACCTTCTGCAGGTGGAATATGCGTGTGACAAGGCCTGAGGTAGTCCTTGTGTTGCTGAGTGTCACTGTGAAGTCCCCATAGACTTGCTCTTGCTCTGGCCAGTACTGCTCACACTTAGTCTGTCAAGAGAATCGAGACCCCTAAGCACTAGCAAACTCATTAGGGGAATGTTGCAAGCCAGCAGCTGTACACTGCATGCCCTGTATCACTGTTGTGCTTGGGCAGGCAACAGACAGTGCAAGGACTGATTCATGGCTCAGGTGGGATACAAGGTCTTGATCAGGGCTAACATGTTCCCCCGCACTGGAGACTTTCCTGATGCTTCACACACCCAGGGTACTGGTATGTGCTTTCTGGAGCAGCAATCTGCTCCCTGGGGACATGTGCTTTGATGGCACGTTGCTTTTCTTCTCTTGTGCTCCCCAAAGTCAGTCTCCTATACCAGACCAAGGGTGATGAGCTCCCGCTGGGAATGGGTGGCTCTGAAGCGGGGAAGGGGTCTGATGGGGAGCTGCTTTCTCTGCTCTTATTGATGGCTGCATCAAAACAAAGTAAAGCAGGCAAGGAAGCCTGGACCCCGGTGAGGCTCAGGGTGAGCAAAGACTGAGACGGTTTTTCTACCTTGTTCTGCTCCACTAAGCTTGTCAGCATCACAATGACTGAAGTCTTCTCCTGCCAGACCATCTGCCAGAAATCCACCACCGTTCCAGGCAAGGGGCCTTGGGGAGGAAGAGGAGAGCCCCATGTCATGATCCAGGACACGGAGGTGTAGCTGCTCCCAGCCACTGCACAGACTCCTAGGGCAGAGTGAACGTTCTCACGCTACAGAGCAGCTTTGGCTTTCCCTCTGCCCAGGGACAAACACTGCACAGCCTGAGGATGGCAGTGCCTAGTAGTGGGTGCTAGCTACCTTGGCTTCAGCAACCATGTTAGAGAGCGGGACAGGGAAAAGGGAAGGCAGGTGAAGGAATGCTGGGGACTCACTACTGCTGCAGGGACTTCTCAGTGGCCTATTGGGGTCCGGCAGCCAGAAGGCTGTGCAGTCTTGTGGCAGTGCAACAAGTAGCTTCCCTCAGTCAGATCCTTAGGTGACTGTGAGCTGCTCCCACATTTAGGGTCTTATTTCCTGAAAAGCATCTCCGCAGCTTGCATGGAGCCTTTGAGACCCCTCACTGCATGATGCCCAGAGAAGATTAATGTGTCCTGGTTCCATGTCATCAGAGGCACCAGTTCTCTGAGTGCACTGACAATGCAGGAGTGTCAGGCATTTGCAGGTTTGACCCATGTGAAGACCAGACTGTCACATCAGTCTCAGTAGGAGATAGGGCAGGTTTGCAGGTGGGAGAAACCACGACATGCTCCAACCAGGTCTTTAGCTTAGTCAGACCAGAGATCAGAGCACAGCCTTCTTCTGTGGTCTGATCACTGCTGAAGTGCCACTGAGGCCTTTCATGCTCTGCAGCAGCAGTGGCCACCATCTGAGCCAGACACTCTGGAGATATGGGCCCTTGGACTGAGCCATTAGCAGTTCCTCTGCTGCTGTCCCAATTCTACACACTCCAAAAGGCTCAGAGCTGGGCCTGCCTTCTCCTGAGCATGCACAGGACCCTGAGCCAGCTTTGGGCAGTTCCCAGGGCTGCAAGCACCCACCTTGAGCTGCAATGAAGAAGCGTGGACTCTGGTAGCTCTGTGGGAGGGAAATTTAAATAGCTCTGATCACATGTATTAAACATTGAACAAGGAATGAAATAAACAATCCTTTCCCACAGGCTCCAGAGCCAAGAGTGCTTGGCAGAGAGTGTCCAGCAGCACTATTCTCAGTTAGCACAGACAGCTAGCATCCAAGGATGACATCTCCATTCCTGTCCCCCACTGTGAGTGTGGTCCTTTTTTGTTAAGGATGAGAATTGCACACAAATCCAGAGTACTCCAGGTAGCTCAGAGAGGATGCAAGGAAAATGACAGCCCAGGATCTGCCAACTCCTGAGGGCAGTAATGGTGGTGGACAGGACACCATCCAGGACCCAGGACAAGTGCCAATCCTTGGGTCACCAATGTGAGAAGGACTGTCCCCACCCTGTACTGTAAGATAGCTGGTATCTCTCCTGCCCCTCACAGGGCAGTAATTCCTCCCAATCTACCTCCACATAGCTGGCATTGATGTAGCCATTGCCTGTGTCAGAGGGCTGCAGCACCACACGGCAGTGATCATCTGAAAGAGAAGGGAGACATGAGGTCGTGGACTGCCTCTTTGGGGCAGAAGTGACTGTTTAAGGAAGGATATGTGATTTAGGAAACCCCAGGACTGCTGCTCCTCAGCAGCACTCCAGGCCTCAAGATACATTTGAAAGTAAAGCATAGTTAATGAAATGAAAGGTGACAGAGCACAGGAGGAAATGCAATGCATGGAGGAGACTTAATGCAATGGCCAATATTCACACCAAGCAGGGCCCAGAACAACAGGATTCTCCATCTGGATGTAGAATTGTAGGGCCAACACCATGATTTGGATATAGAATTGGAGGGCCAACACAAACACCCCCCATGTAGGGCCAACACCCATCACTTAAACTTGTGGGTTTAAGTGACCACAAGGTCACTGAAATGAGACGAGGAGCTCAGCGCTGTTGAATAGCTTACACCCACCCAGTGTCCTGTACTGCCTACTGCCCCTCCATATCCCTGTGGCAGCCCCTAGGAGGCTCTGCTTACATGGGATGATGCTCTTGTAGCGGTTCTTGCCCTCATTACATAGTTCCTTCCCGGCATCACAGGGATGCAACAAAGTGGAGACCAGTTTCTGCAGAGGAAGAAGATGAGCCCACTCTGGATTAGCACATGTTCTGGGGCTGGCCAACAGCAACTGTATCACGCACCCAAGGTGGGGTTGGGTCTGGATGGACAGTGCAGCCAAAAGTGCAAGCAAAGCTAAATCAGACCTGATACTCTCCCAGACGCCCAGCACCTTCTCTGTTGATGACTGATTCATCCTCTGTCTGCTCTGCCTCTACTTCTTCCCTCTTGAACCTTTTCAGAGCCTCCAGCAGTTCCTCCACTGGGATCCGTGTATTCATCTTGTTCGCACCTATGGGGACCATGAGGCCAGCAATTTAGCATGTATCTGATGCCTGGCATTGGGAGTGGGACCTTTGAAGTTGAGACTGGACTGGTATTGAGATGGGCAGGACCCCACCAAAGCCACACACAAGTCCCTCTCTCTCAGGAGGTGCCCTTCCCCATGCCAGCCAGCTCTGACCCTCTTGCTCCTGTAAGGACCTCAGAACCCCCCTGCCTGTGCTTTTAACATAGCGCCTGTCCAGACAGGGCTGTCGGGGTCTCTGTTCATACCACACCTCTTCGACATCTTCTCAGGGGAATAGTGCTGTTGCTTTCATAGGTTTGTGAACTGTTGCGCTTCCTCCTGCAAAACAGTAAGTCAGACCCATAGACCAGCAGAAGTGAGGGATATAGAGGAGAGCGTGTTGCCCATGTAACAGCCCTGCCTCCCACCTTGCTTTGTCTCATGGTCCACTCTGTACATTGCCTGGCAGCGCAGGGAGCTGGATGTCCCATGGCAGCACAGAGAGCAGGAGAGGTGAGGCACATACTGACCTGAAGAGCAGAAAGAGCAGCAAAATTCCTAGTGCCAGGAGTGCCACGACCAGCGCTACTGCCATAATCACCACTCTGCTGTCTAGCTGAGGAACCGGCTCCTGCCCTGCAACCAGCACAGCCCAGACTCAGGTTGCTGCACAGCCTGAACCAGGCAGTGGGACATCCTACTGGGGTAGTGGGGAGAAAAGTAGTTTTTCTCACCTCCCACCACAGGCTTTGTGCTGGAGAACAGCTAAGCTAGAGCAGGAAGAACTTGCCTGGCTTGATACCCTTCAGCATGAGCACTGTCTCTCTGACTGTCCCCAGGCATGGCCAGAGCCTGGTGAGGTGCTTGCATTAGTGGGGCTGCATATGTACCAAGGGAGCATTAAGACTTATATTCAACATGAGATGATGGCATGGATGCACAATACCCATGGCTGCCAGCCGTGCTACTCCTTGCAGGCCACCCTGCATTGCCAGACCAATGATGTGTGTCATCTGCTTCTCCTATCCCTCTCCAGGAACCCTTCCCAGGGAAGGCATGCTGCCTTCAGCATCCAGAAGAGCTATCAGAGATGGGCTGTGCACACTTCTGGCCAGCCAAAAGCCTCCCAGGCTTCTCCCACCTGTCCCAGCAGTGTCCCTGTGTGGTGCTGGGGCAGCTGAGGGTGACAAAGAGTCAGTGGCCCTGGCAGGCAAGCGGGAGGAGGATTTTTTTCCTAGCAACACACCCCATACTGCAGTGTCAGCCACAGCACAGATCTCAGTAATACAAGACCAGGTCGGGAGTGTCCAGCCATCCCTTGAGATCATTCAACTCTGACATCATGATGGAAATGAGCAGTAAATACACAGGGACAGAGGCTTGAAGGGAGGCCAGCGAATACCTGTGCAAGTGGCCAAGGATAGCCACCTGCTATCCATCCATCCATTAGAGTCTCAAGATGGCATATGCAAGATGATGGAAGTGAGATGTTGTTATGGGAGACCCACATGTATGAGGAAGAAAAGGTTTCCTCTCCCCAGCACTCCAGGACCCTCCTGCCCTTTGACTCAGCTTTGGCTTTCCCTCTCCAAGGGAAGCGGCCAGGTGGGGAAAAGGTAGGATGCGGGATGGTGCCTCTGGCACAGGGTGCGGGGCCGAGCCCGGCCCTGAGGAGAGGAGCCCACTTACCAACAGAGAAGCTGTAGCAAACGCAGGTGAACTTCTCTGCCTGTTGGAGGAGACAGGAGGGAGAGCTCAGGCCACTGCTGCCCAGCTGCCCGCTCCCGGGAGCAAAGGCCTCCGCCCCACGGCCACAAAATGCCCCAGCTGTGGCCAAAGCTCCCCAGCGGGACTGTGCTGCCAAAACGCTCCAGCTTTCAGCGTGTGGGGCAGGAGCAGCCCCCCTCGCCGCGCTGCTGGGGACGGGGCCTGGGGAAGGAGCAGCCTGTGCCCTGCTCCGAGCCCCGCGAGAGGCTACCTGCTGCCGGCGG